TCAAGAATTTGTTTTACTTTTTTTTTCAAGAACTAAGGAGATTTCTCATTGATAAAAGGTAATGTTTTTCTAAAAAGCAAAAATTTAAAAGGATGCAGAAATAAATTATGGTCCAAACATGTATCTGCTGTCACAATTACATGTAAAGGATAAGTTAGATATTTCATATCTCCATCATTCAGGCAAGTTTCAGATTATACATTAGCCTCTATATGCTATTTGTTCAGTATAATTGTTATAATCTAGGTGAGAAAATTACAAACTACAAAACATTTAAGCCAAATTAGAGTCAGCCACTCAGAATAGGTTAACACATAGAAAGACTATTAGCCCTAATGCTCAGGGTGCAGCTATTATAAAGGCAAAATGCATAATGACCTCATTGTCAGGTGTAGGTCAGGGGAATCAGGTAACATTGGTTTGGAGAATATTTTTGGTTGTGCATTTGAGCTATGCATGTGTTGCCAAGGTCAGTGAGACTGTTCAGGGAGTAAAAGACTAGAAATCACATGAGAAGACGCAAAATGGATCAGGTTAAGATCAGGACAAGATGGCGCTACCTTGGTCACTTAAACAATTATATAAAAAAAATTTAAAATAGACCACTGTGCCATTAAGATATATTTTTCTACTTTAGTCTAATTTATTTTTCATTGCTTTTATTTTGAGGTTATAATATAATTACATCATTTCTTCCACTTTGCTCTCTCCAAGTACTCTTATCTACCCAACACCCTACTCTTTTTCTAATTTATGGCATATTTTTAACAATTATTACTGGTATAGATAAATAGATGATAGGTAGGTAGATAGATAGATAGATAGATAGATAGATAGATAGATTCCTAAGCACATAAATACAACCTTATCAGTTTGTATAATATTACAATGTATAACATTATATACATTGTGTATGTGTGTACAATGTATACATATTTTTCGTCCAATACAAACGCCTGACATTTGGTATTAGATAGCCATCAGTGTACTCTTCCCTGGGGAAGACTATTTCTCCAAGTCTTAGTATTTTCAATTGCTTGTAGTTCTTTGTCTAGGGCTAAGGCCTTGTGATCTTTGGCCTTTCCATGTTAGATGTCTATTGGTGTTGTCTTTGTTCGGCTTCTATTTAGGTACCCATGTTCGTGAGACTTTATGTACCGTGCTTTGATGTTCCTAAAAGGCACAATCTCACAGCGAAGTCCTTGTTCCTCTGACCCCTTTAAAGTTAAACTAGTCCACAAGTAAATCAGTTTTTTAAGTTGGATTCAATCTTTTATCTCTGCTCTCTTCATATGTGGCATCCCAAAGACACAAACTTTAAATTTGGCTGTCAACTATTACTCATTCTGGTATTGACTATATTAGATAATATAGAGATAGGCAAGTTAGAAAATGAAAGCACTCCACTCTGTTTTTATTGTTCTTCTATAAAATGCTTGATTTGCTTTGAAAGTTGTCTCAAATTTAGAATGTGTCATTTGGAGACTAACATTGGAGCTCCTGACCTTATAACAGAGTGCTCTTTGTTTCATTACATCATCCCACTCTTCATGAGAAAAGGAGAATCTGCTTCAAACTGGAAGGAGAGGGTTTCCCAGTCCTAAATGAAATCTACTGCCATGTTATAACACACACACACACACACACACACACACACACACACCGCCCACAACACAACAATAGAACAGGATCTGGGGACATAGCCCAGTCAGTTAAGTAACTGGTTAACAAACATAAAACCTTGAGTCTGCTCCCCAGCACCCCTGTAAAAAGCCATGGGGAAAAAGCAAATAGATGTGGTAGCATACACTCCTGTCTCTGTGCAGGGGGATAAGTGGCAGAAGGATTCCTAGGGTTCGATCCTGGTCAGCTCAACTGAATCAGCAAGTTTCAGGCAAAACTGAGAGACCCTGTCTCAAAAATCAAGGTGGAAAATGAACCAAGGAAAACTCCAAGTCCATTTACACACATGTGCACATGTGCACCTGCACAAATGTAAACGAGTTTACACATACAACTGAACAGTACATTGAAGAGACTTGACGTGAATGAAGTCAATGGAAAGGATTATATGAGGGGAGCGGTAGGAGAACACAGTAAGTAAAAAGTATTATATGAGAAAGGGTAGGCAAACACAGTGGGTAAAACACTGCCACACGAGCCTGGGGACCGGGGTGCAATCCCAGGAGCCCACAAAAATTGGAGGGAGAGAACTGATTCCACAAAGCTGTCCTCTGACCTCAATATGTGCACAATGGCATACAGATGCGCGCACACACACACATACACACAAACAAAATTTAAAAGAAAGTGTTAAATGATATATGCTTCCAATTCAATGATATTTTGTAAAACAGTAAAATTATTGAGACACAAAAAGATCAGTTGCCACAGGAGCTGGGAAAGGAGGATATTGTATAGAGCATAGGGACTTTTTTACACAATGGGGCTATTTTTTATACTATACTGGTAGATTCATGCCATATGTCTTTGTCAAAACCCATATACTGTACAAGACCAAGAGTGAATCCTAGAGGAAGCTATTAACTTCTGAGGATAGTGATGTAGCAATGTAGGCTAATCCACTGGAACTAATGGACAGCTCTGATGGGGGATATTAATACTGGGAGAAGGTACAGATGTGAATATGACAAAAAGAGGAATAGGAGTCCTATACCTTTTGCTAAGTTTCTCTGTGAGCCAACTATCACATTAAAGAATAGCATCCCATGTGAGAGGAAGATTTCCTCTTGCATACGCTTCATAAACTTAATGTTATCTCACTCTTTGCTGGACTTTCTATCTGAACTACTCTAGGGTATTAACAAGAGAACCAAAGGAAGACAATATAAGCCAATAGAATAAACTACTAGGAAAGCAAAGGTCTCTGAGTGAATCCTAATTTAGTCTCTATGTCTCTGTCTTTCTCTTTCCTGTAATCCCTTTTGTAGGCCTCATAGCTTTTGCCTTCTGTCTCATGACACAGCCTCAATATGTGCATCTGAAAAAGAGAGGGCAGAGCAATGCTTTGTCGCAGAACTCTACTACCTTGCCCGGTTTTGTTGTTGTTGTTGTTTGTTTGATTGTTTGTTTTGCCAAAGCTTAGTGTTATAAAGTAAGCATTAGTTATACTGTAATCCCAGCAGTTGGGAGGCAGAGGCAGGCAGATCTCTGAGTTCAAAGCCATTCTGCTCTATAGGATGAGTTCCAGGACAGCCAGGGTTACAGAAAGAAACCTTGTCTCAAAAATAAAAAAAAAAAAACTGAAGGTTCATAACTTAAACAAGAATTAGGTAGAGATGGAATTATCTGTGTTCTTTGGTGTCAGGAACCAGCCAAGCTAGAAATACTTCGAGAGTGAATTGATTTAACCGTTGCGGTCTGTAATCAGGTAGAGACATTTTCTCCACATATCTGGGAGTGCATGGCAGCTATGGGCTAGGATCTCAGCCAGATAATGGGATAAACATGTGGGTATTCATCAATTTCTCTGTGTGTATTGGCTTGGGCTTCCTCACAATATGGTGGCTTGTATAAAGAGAGAGCCTGTCAAAGGAAAAAAGAGAAAAGAAATGACCCTGAATGAGCTAGTTCTAAAATAACAGAGCATCCTTGCTGTAAGATTCAAACCTGCCCCAACATCTCTATTCATGTTTGGAAGGAAATGACAGAAATCAAAACCACAGGTTGGGAAGAGGTCCAAAAAACAATCAGGTTTGGCTTGATGTGTTTTTTTAAACCACGAAGTCTTAAGCCAACTCAATATCATTCTATGTTATTCTGAATGTGGGTACCCTGCTAACAGGCAAATGGTTTTCTGAGCATGTGTATGTACCACATGTCCAGACAAGTCACAACAAGATGCACTCTGCTGAGTCACAGGACCAATGAACACAGCTGACCCCCTTTCCCATAGCACCTGACTGCTGTCCCCTCCCTCCTGGCAAAATGAAAGCAGGTCTCTCCCTCTCTCCTAAGCTGGTGAGTCTGACCTTCACTCATAGCCTTTCCAGAGCAACGGAACCGTGCTGACTCAAGGCATGTTTTCACTAAGCACCCTTCACCGGAAACACTGCAGATCATACTAGCGTTTGCGTCTCCTTGTCGTGTATGGCTGGGTGTTTGAAAAGGTTATTTCATGATGCTCTTATCCAGATTAAACTGCATCTGGTCCCACTTAAAAAAAAAAAAACATGTGAAATAGGCAATGCTCTTGCTACATTTTGGAAAATACTGTATCTTATTGGGTCTTTCACTTGATATGCAATGTATTTGGGTGATTGTTAGACTTTGTTCCACATCTAACTTCTTATTGTTTAGATTATAAACCATGCGATAGGATGGCAAGCATAACCATCAATTTACATGATAGTCAACCACAGTACTCTGCACTTAATCATCAGAATACATAATATTAATATTAGTGATGCAACTGTGGACAGATACATGGAATTGATTAACACTGTTTTTATGTACATTTGTAGTTTGTTACCCCAAACTCCTCAACATTAACCAAAAATCATAGTTCATGGGCTGGAGAGATGGTTCAGAGGTTAAGAGCACTGATTGCTCTTCCTGAGGTCCTGAGTTCAATTCCCAGCAACCACATGGTGGCTCACAACCATCTATAGTGAGATCTGGTACTCTCTTCGGGTCTACAAACATACAGACAGAACACTGTATACGTAATAAATAAATAAAATCTTTTTTTAATAAAAAGATCATATTTTAATGTCCAAGAGAAGTTTTATTAGTCCAAGTATGTCTTCGTTACTTGAGAAATATGTGAAATCTCTTCTGAAAAGTATAGAGACTATTGTAAAACAATAATTGAATCTCATATTTGAAGAAAAAAATCACTACCTTTAAGAAACTACTTTTTGCTCTTTCATTATTAATTAGCTTTAGTTTTCTTGATTATTTTAATTCATAAGGACTTTGAACATTCATTTCCGTATCTTCTGAAAAGTGAACTAACAAATGCAATTGTCCCTTTTCAGTTGACTTCATAGGTGGCTTTGATTCTTATGGCTATCAAGGGCCTCAGAAGACATCTCACTTACAACTACAACCAATGTACATGTAAGTACTCGACTTGGAAAGTATCTCTCTGGGGTATGAAAAGATAGTCAAGTAAGTGTACCATGGCACAAAAAAAATGCATGTAGCTTTCCCTTGGTTGTATATTTCCATTTTCTACTAATAATATTGTTTTTACTAGAATGATTCTAAAACATTTTCTTCGTGTTTAAAAAAATGACATTGAAAGGCCTTTAAAGTTTTCTTTAGTCTTGTGTAAGTATCATCTACATGGCTCGAAAGCCTCCATTATATATTAATTCTTTAAATTACCTGAAATGTGTGTATTTTGAAAATATTCTAACAGTATAGGCAGTTATATGTAACTATATAAAACTTAGTCTCTGGCTTCCCCGATACAGTCCCAAATGATGCTAGTTGTGTTCATATCCTTGTTATCAGCCCTCCATATTAGTTTTGAGTGTTTGTTTAAATGATAAATGCTAGTTCACCCTAGTGATGGACACATATTCCAAAATTTCAAACTCTGAGCCATACCTTATCAATGTGAAAGTCAAAATGAACCTGGAACATGAGAACTGAAACTGATCAAACCCTTAACTGTAGCACTCAAGAGCACAGACCAACAATCAGAGCCTGATTTTTATATCTGTGTTTAGGCAAATTCCCTTGGATAACAACTGATAGCAAATTCTATATCTCAGCATCAAGTGATATGCTGAATTGCAAGAGAAGATCAAAATAGAAAGTAAGCTTCCAATTCATTTTAAAATGTGACTTCTCTTTGAAGATATGTGTTTGTTGTCCTTGTCCTCCACCATTTCCCTTTTAATGCCTTCAGCATGTAGGATAATGAATGGAGTTTGGGGGTACGTCTACTCCAAACAGATTGGTCTTTAGACACTTCTCATAAGTTTCTCTTCTAAAAGAGAATGGTGTATGCATTGTGCCTGCCTTTTTCTATGTGTCCCTTGTAGTCTTCTGCAAGTGTTTGAACAACGCCACTCATAAAAAACAATTGTACCTATCCAGAAGTCAAGTAATATCACATCCCATTCAAATCATTACCTCTACAAACAGTAGATCACACATCCTTCTTTTACATCCAAAACTGCTGCCTATTTCAAGTATCCATGATCAACCACTGAGTTTTCCAGTTTCATAATTTCAGAACTTTTGCCCCATCCTATACATGACTGCTAAATTAATATTCCTAAAGTCCTCATTGATGCCTTCACTTTCCTTTCAAAAAGCTCTCAGTGGTTTCCTGAGCTCCTGAACACATCTTGCAAGAGTATGCTGATCTGGGCACAATGTTTTATTGAAACATTTTCTTAATAACTTTTGTGTTACCGCTATAAGCAAGTGGATGGTAAATGGTGCTAGGAACACATAATACTGAGATAGCAACTACTGAAGCTTTTAATTTGTTAGGAGCATAAATGCTGTGGGAGCTTCCCGGAGCCACTGTCTTCCAACAAAACTGAAACATTTGTGTTCTCCAAGGATAACATGTGTTTTTCCACTCTCCACATTTTTTCTTGAACAAGTATATTGTCATCCAGCATATTGTTTCCAATCAAGCATTTCTAATTCTAACGTTAATCTTTAAACAAGAATTTTAAAAAGGTTATCTTTGCAAAGAATTAAATTCCCTAAGAGCATAACTTTCCCTAATTTTCTTAAATAGAAAGCTTTACCTTCCAAATAAACATAATCAGATATCATTCTCCCCCATCAGTGCCTGAGAATGGCACAATTATATGACAGCTTTTAAGTCTCATTACTAATGAATTTCTAAACATTTAATAGGACGCATGTCCAGGATATTAGGAATACTTGAGGTGCATGAAAAATTACTAGTCAAAATTCTGCCTTCGCCTCTCCTATAAAGCATCTCTTAGAAAGTATCAGATCATAAAATTCTGTAATTTTATCCTATAAACCAAAAGGCAGAATCAAGCGACAGGAAAACAGAATTCCCCCAGCTTGTTAGTGGCACACATGTACTTTTTCTGACCCTTGTTTGATGTCTCTTCAATTCCTTAAATGGATGGTGAGTCCAGCCTGGCATTGCCTTCCCTGGTTTTATTTCACTGGTTCACACAGCCAAAATGGCTGTCATGTTCCCACACAAGTGCACTGCCCCCTTTCCCCATCTCCCTTATCGCCTTTTGATTTCACACTCTATAGTTTGGATGCAGAGCTTTATAGCTATGCAACCCTCAAAAATCTGTCTTTTGAAAGTCACTGCCTAGTGGGGTCCCGTGAAAAATCAAGCTTGATTCACTTGTAAACCTCATCCCCACTGAGAGGCAGAGCCCTGAGCACCAACTCTGTCTTTGCCTGTCAGCTGGCCATAAATATGTCTTGTAAACTAAGAGGAATTTAACATCATGGGCCAGCTCAAGCGTCCTAACCATATTATGTTGCCAATATTGAAATAACAGCTGTTCTTTTGAAAGAAAGCAAATGCTAAAAAGCAATGTGCAGTTCTAGCTATGGGATTTCTATTACATCCACCAAATCTGTGGCCCGCTCCTGGACAAAGCCATGAAGTCACTGACAGCAGGAACTCACAGCCACAGACAATGGAAAATAAACTGTCCTCTTAAATGATAGTTCCTTTGGGTGTGTGTTCTTCTTAGTTTGTAATTCTTCAGATATACAACCATATCTCTTTCAGCCTACAGTTTTTCACATATATACAAAATAAATTGATAATCATCAGAAATTTCCATATCATCTCATTAATTTTCTAATAAAGTAATTTTTTTTATCCCAACTGACTTATATGCCATGGCACCTATGAACATGATGGTGTCCCCTTCCTACTACAAATCTCCTGTAATGTACTAGACAGCATGCAAAAACACTGTGTCATTTTGGCAGCCGATGGCAGAACATACTCATTTCTTGTGTTCCTGGAATGATCATATGTGACCTCTATTGGTGACACTGGAGGAATAAAAGGGAGAAAAAAAATGTTTAAGTCCCAATCTGAGCTTCTACTTCCTTATGTCCCCTATCTTTTCTTTTCTGTTTGCTGTTGTGTTTGGAGAAGTAAACTTTTTACTTCCACTCGGAAGTAAAAAGCAGCTAGCATTCTCTCTTGATTAAAATCTTCTTTTCTCTCTCTTAGGTCAAAATAACACAGATGACTTCTGTCTGTCAGCCCATGGATTTCTCAATTGACTTGTGCAGTGGCCTCCTGCCTTTTATGAAGAGCAAGAAGCAAATGAATTTAAATACACACACACGTTATTACCAGACCAAACGGGAAGTTTCTACATAGACATATGTGTGAAAACACACACACATACACTCACCACTATCATGATCATGCACACATCAACTCCACTGGACCTCTGACTGAAGCTGATAAATATGCAGGCTACGCCTATCCTGGATTTCCTTAAAGCAGGCTCCCTTCTCCCAGGCCTTTGAAGGTGGGAAAGGAGACGCGTTGGTGCCCCCTGTAGGCTGTTTCTTACTCCTCTGCGGCACAGCCTGTTGACTCTGGGAGGTGCCAAGTTAACCCAGGCACACTCGTTTGGAACCCTTTTCTGCACTCCATACCATACACGTTGGTAGCACCACAGCTACTTAGGCAACATAATTGCAAAAAAATAAAAATAAAAAATAAAAAAAAAAAACAGACAGACAGAACATGCTGTGATGACCTTGTACCAAATGTGAAATGGCAGGATGTTTGCCCTAAAGGCTATACCGTACTTACTTGCCTTAACCCACCTGAGTTGTGTGCCCAAGACTCACAGTCCCCCAGTCACTTCCTTTAGGCTCACACACTGCTATTAATTCCGAACAATTTGACTCTGTCTCGCGTCAAGGAAGAAGATGAAAACTCTCAGCAGCCCCAATGTGTCTGTGTAAGGAAATGATGCTTTACCACTGAGCCTCTTCGGTGGCCACAAAGAGACAAGTACCAACGGCAACAGCAGCTGTCATCTTCAGGTCTCTGAAACATGGTCTTCTGACGTAGTCGGGGTGAAACAAAGTAAAATGTGTGAATCTACTAAACTCGTTAATCTACAGAAAGCAGAGATGGCTTGACTGCTTGGTTGTATCTCTTGCACGCTAGGTGCTTCCCTGAGTATCGACAAATGGCTTTTCCTAACACAGGAAACAGCTGTGGATTTCTATGACAGAGGCCAACTGACAATGTATTAGCTATGTTTACTCTTTTATATCTAACTCAAATCCAAGACCCGATGTAGGTGAACTTTCTTTTCTATCTTCGGCGTACAAGATTATTTTTGGGGCGGGTGGGGGGGAGCAATAGCTAACTTAGTGAAATCTTTGAGATCTCTTTGTGGTATTTGGGGGATCTGTTGTGTGTTAGAGTGTATTTCAATCCTCCTGTATTATTGTGGCAGAAAAAAAAAAAACCTGTGCTGTTGACGTAGTTGGCAATGAAATGCCTTTGGAGACAATAGTAGGTCAATGTGTTTATGGCATATTCTGAACTCCTAGAAAATTTAGTTCTATATTTTCAAGCACCGTTTGGTTCTCATTAGTGGGAAACATAATTAGCTCAAGCTTATCAGTAACACAGATGAGTCATGTTTTCTTGGGTCCACTTGAGACACGAAAACTGAGTTTTCTTTACCACATCATCTTGACGTGCAGTGAAATTCAGACCGAGAAGTTAAACATTGTCATAGAGTAACTTTTTTTTCTTTTGGCACTTACAATTTTGCTTACGGGGTTAACCCTTTTTGCAGCTTAGCTCATTCAGATCTCCATAAGACAGGTCAGTTGCTGTCTTTGCAAAGATGTTTTGTGAAACATGACCACATACCCATTTAAAAGCGATGAAGGAACCGAAAGTAAATATCGGAACATACATCACTACGTGCGCAAAAAGATTTCACCCCTAACACTTGAGTTTTCCCAGTGCCTTGTGTATGGTGGCCCATACCTACAGGCATAAAGTGAACAGTTGCAAACACATTGGTGAAACCTCATATGGTGTTTTTATAGTAAGATGCATGTTTAATGTTTGAAGAAAACTATTCACCAATGTACTGTCCCTTTTATTCCGAAAATACTAATTCTATACATGCTAGACGTTATTCTAATGTCACTACTGAAGTGAGATTTCACCGTCTTGCTACTGCGATGGGAGTCCACCTTGTAGCGTGTGTGTAGGGAGGAAATAAAATAAGCCGTCACGTTTCTTTTTAAGTTGCAGCCAACTCACCACCAAGTCACTATCTATCATCACCACCAAATATTTCAGAAACAGTTGTTGACTGCTAAAGAGTAGTCAGAGGGCGGGCCTTTTTAGGAGCAGCAAGCACAGTCATGTGGTTGATTCTATCTGGGAAACATCAAAGTTGTACAGCTGTATCCTCCTCAAAATCTGGTGAAGAATGCTATTTTTCTAGGCTGAGCTTTTGTTATAAACCTAATATTCTGAAAGCAAGAGTTAATAATCCTGATCTGTCTTTTTTTTTCCTCTCCTGCATTTGTTAATTCTGAATGTATTTTTAACAGAGTGATTTTTTTGACTTACTAGTGTAATTTGCATTTTAAAAATAAATGGAAAAACAATGAAGTTTCTGAGCCATCCCTGAAAGTTCCTGTTACCTCTCGCGATGGGTTTGGTTATGTCACTAACAGGGAAAACCTTGTCGACTTGCTTGATGATGCTACCAATATTGTTTGCGGTTCAGTAAGTGGTCAGCCATGAGAGAGAACTGCCAGACTCCAACAACGATATAACTCAGCTATGGGTAGCACCCACTTCCATTCTTCCAACATTGGACTCCCACTTCAGACTGCCTGCTGCAGGCTTACTGTCCCCTAAAGAGCATTTTTCTCTTTGCTTTGTGATTTTACATCTAAAGGACACTAGATTAAAATCATTTCGTTTGGGTCCAAATGAATGGCTCAGTAGTTAAGAGGACCCGATGGTGACCCCCATCACTCACTGGCAGCTCACAACCATTGGAACTACAATTCCAGGAGATTCATTGCACCTCATCTGCCCTTCACATGCACCAGACACAAAATTGGTATACAGACAGGCATACAGACAGACAAAACACCCACACCCATATAATGAAATAATGTTTTTTTTAAATCACTTGATTAATGTACAGGTAGGGATTTTCCATTTTATAAAAATATTTGTATGCGTGCATGTGCCTGTGTGGAAGGGGTATGTGTGCACATGTATGGACACGTGCGTGGCAGTCAAATTTCAATGTAAGGTATCAGCTCTCAGGAACTATCCATTTTGTTTAATGAGACAGAGTCTCTCACTTGGACCTGGGGCTCACCAATTAGATTAGACTAGGCTAGCTGGCTGGCCAGTGAGTTCCAGAAATCCATCAGTCTCTGTTTCACCCACATTGAGATAACAAACAAGCTGGAATCCAGCTCAGTTCCCGAGCTTATGAAGCAACACTTTACCAAGTGAGCTATCTCCCTCGCTCCTCTTTTATTTTAAATGAAATAATTTAAAAACTACTGATTGCCCCCTTGATAACATAAGCTGTTGTTGATGATGTTAGAATATGGTTGTCTACTTCAGCAGAAGACAACTGTGTAGAAACAGCTTGAGGTTGTGGGGACAAAAGGAAAAGACTTGCCCCTGGTAATTCATTATTCTTAACTGCAGCATGGAAGGGCAGATGGTAGCTGGCCCAGGCTGATATGGCCTCAGGCTGCTGTTGACTTATGCTCCTCCCACTGTACACCGACAGATATCAACTACCACAAACTGAAATTCCAACACTGCTAGAGGAAACTGCAGAAGTTGTGCTGTGTACCAAGAAGCAAAAGCCAGACTTTCCGTGCTTGATTCCTAGGCCACATAGTGAGAGCCTTGAACATGATCAAGTAGCTTTTTAGCTCTGGTTCCAGATGAGAACAGAATGTCCAGGTGGTGTTCACTGAAGCTTGTGAGAATACCTTTCAGGATGGTTCTTCATTAACTGCGAAGTCAAAGGTTCATAGCATCTCCACTGCATCAAAAGCAATGACATGAACAGGCCAACCATATATAGACACATACATAGTCTCCAAGGAAAATATTCTTCTGAAAGTTTTGCTTAAATAAGTCATAAAATTTTAAAACAACAAACACAACTCAGGCTACATGTGGTAAGTATTTAAAATGTGACAATAGATACAGTGAAGAATGCATCCAATATCCCACTCATGTAGTAAATGCGGCATATTAATTTGGAAATACAATCTTTTTAAAATAATTTCCATTTAGAATTAATCGCTGAAAACCAGGTCCATTCATTATAGAGACCAAAAGAGTTCCAAGTAGTTAAATAACATCCATAACACTGGGATATACTAACTTTGGAAGTGTAAACGATTCCCCGTTCCACAGAAAATCATGCTGTGCCCTCTGGTCATCATACAAACCCCAGCCTCTATCAGCTGACCCGGGATGGTGTAAATTCAAATGATTTAAGGTAAGGGAGCACCTACAACAGTGTCAAAACATAAAATGCTTCTGAACTATTGTTTATTGGGCTTGAAGTATTTTGATATTAAAATATTTTTCATTCTATTACAGTTCTTTCAAAAGCCAATAACCTATACCCAGAGGTAAACATGGGTATATGATATGTCCTTCTGTATTACCCTACCAATTGTATTCAGTTTTATGGTCAAGTTTCCTAGGTTTTATTTAGCATACATTTATGAATAAGTAAATTAGAGAGATTAAGTTTACTTAAGCATTCTCATCTTGAGCAGGACATAAATTCATCAAGGAAATATTTCCTCAAATTTTTGTTTTTGTAAATTTCAGAACTCAAGACTTATACTCTGAAAAATTGGTGTTAAGATCCCAATGCTGTAAAAAGAAATTTCCGTTATTTTCATCCCATTTAAATCTTTGTTGAAGATCTGTGGATGATTCTCTTCGCATTTTATTATATATGCCTTTTGCTTACTTCCAAGGAAGAAAAGAAAAGGCTCTATGATCGCTATGTGATGTCCAGTTTAAAACAAGTCAGTATACTGAAACACGTTTTTTTATGGCTATGAAGCAATACTAGCTCAAACATTTGTGATTTTATGCCATTTAGTTCAGAGAGAAATTGAACAAGTTGATATGTGCTTGCATTATATTTATCACTGAAATCTAAAACCTTGTGAGTTTTGACAAAAAGTAAAAGCAATAAAATGGAGGAAAGTTTTTCCTAAAACAAGAAAAAACAGGAATATTTTATATTCTATAGAATTATAATAATGTAATTTTTAAATCATTGAAGATTAGAATTAATGTGCTCAAGGTTTTAATGGGCAATAAAAGGTGGTATTTATGTGATAAATTTATATGATAAATTTACTTGATAAATTCAGAGAAGCCACATGCTGACTTTCTTACTCAGTCTAAATCATTATCAAAATTAATCTAAATCAGTTCCATAATGAAGTTTCCTTAATAATACGGCACCTTAATATTAAAATAAGTATTTTGTGGACTGTTCATTCTGTCCTCGTGTGAATTTAAATTGTAGCAGCAATGGAATAAAACAGCTTCCAAAAAAGATTACAAATTGATGCTGTCACTTCAAGCGTGATGGATTGATTCAATTAATCAGTCAGTCTTTCCTAAGAGGCCTTCAGGGAGTTGCTGAGCAGAGGCAAACCCTGTTTATTCCCTTCCAGGTACCTGTCATTTTTCTTCATTATTCTTCTAGTTTTACTCATTATATCTTTGGGGAATATGCTGATCTCCATGTACAAAGGTTTTGCACACAGATGTCCAGACATAAATCTTCCAAGCTTCAAACTGGAGGCCACCAAAACACCTGGGACTCTTGTCATTGTTCTGTCAGTATGGCCAAGATGCTCACAAGATGAAGTCAAACAAATAAATGGACAAAGAAAAAAAATGGTTCATCAATGAAAAAGGAACCAATTGAGGGAAGGTTGTGAAACATTCAAAAAGATACATACAATGCCCATGTGCTCCACATATTTGGGACTGGCCCCTCCATCAGAGGTCAACCTCCTCAATCCCAAAAGCAGATAGATAGTGATAAAAAAAAAAAGTTGGAAATCTGGGACTTACGTGCGACATTCACAATAATACCAAAAAAAAACAAAAACAAAACAAAACCCATATTCCGTGATTATGTTGCTTTGGCTAATAACACACAAATATTCTTCAATATAAAATATTTCTTCTTTTAATGGGTCAAACCATTTGTCTTTTAAAATTGCAAAATATGGTGCTCTGGGCACAGCTCAGCTGCTTAAAATGCTTGCCTAGAATGCATGAGGCTCTGGGTTTCATTCCTAACATCACATGTAACTGGAAATGTGTTGAGTAACACGGGTTAAAGAGCCCTAGGCTACGCCAAGATAAATCAATTATATATGCTTTATTATAAGGGACAAACTCACAAGACAAAAACAGTAAGTCCAACCTCAATTGTAAAGCACAGAAGCCACACAGAGAGAAAAAGAGCAAACCCTGGGCCTTCAGATGTTTTTCTCCGGGTACCCAAAAGGTCACGCCCTAATCTGACCCTACCTCTTAAAGATTATTGGCTGACAGAGATTCCCCACCAGATACATTTTAAGCAGCTACAATCATAGCATTCAGGAGGCAAAAGAAGATGGATTTGAAATTTAAAGTAACCCATAAATATACAGTAAGTCTGAAGCTAGCCTGGGCTACATGGGACCCTGTCTCAAAAAAAATTTTTTTTAAATGTGAAGAGTCCACCACTCACAAATTTGCTGGAATGCTTAGTATTATTAATACTAATAATACTAAAGATAACAGAAGTTGTCAAGGATGGATAGAAAAAACTCACATACCTTCTAGTGGGAATCTAAACTAGTTAGACATTATGGAAAAATGTTAGTAAAAATGGAAAAATCTAATTTCTGGGTATATAAACAATGAAAATGACATAAATATGTGAAGAGATCTCTGTAGTTTATACATTGTCACATCAGTCACAATATGGAAGCAACCTACATGCTCATCATTTGATAAATGCACAAAAAAAATTGGGCACATATAGCAATGGAATAATATTCAGTCTAAAGAGATGAAAATTTTGTCCTTTGCAACAAAGTGAATAAATCTTGAAGATATTATTATTAGGCCAAACAAACAAAGAAAAGAAAGATATAATCTTACTCATATGACTAGAAAAAATAAATGAACTGTTAGCCAAAGGAAAGAAAGGTGGGAAGAATATGGGAGGAATTGGATAGAGGGAAAATATCTTCATACTTTGTGTGAAAAACCTGCAATAAAATTGTAGTTATGGGGATAAGTTTGGTAAATAAATTATACAGATAGTAAGAATAATTAAAACATGGATCTATATGAGTATCCAAGTATTATAGGATATACTGAATACATGGAACTATAAAGGTATCCAAGCATTGTAAGTTATGACAACATGAAACTTTAATAGTATACAAGTGTTATATACTTGGATAGGGCTGAGAGATTAGATGTTAAACATGCTCACTACATACAAAAATAATAAGTGTGTTAGGAAATGAACATATGAAGTGGCTTGAACTAGCCATTGTACAATGCAC